TCAGCAGTGGAGCCCCAATATCATGTCTCAAATCATGTGGTTGGTGAAAAACCGTGAAACTTTGCTCCAGATCAGTTGTGTGACCCTGATAAAATACCCCACCTCTCTGGACTTGTTTCCTCCTCTGTACAGTAAGGAGTTGTTCTCCAAGTTCTCCTTCACACTCCCTCCTCCTCAGTCATTGTTCTGCTGCAAAGGGGCAGGTCCCGCCCCTGAGCCCACCCAAGGGGAGCTGGGAGAAGGCCAAGGTGTGGGAGGGGCAGAGGATTTGGGCTCTGAGGGTCATTCCTCTGAGGCTCAGCGCAAAAGGCCCAGGTTCCAGCCTGCATAGGGCCCTCAGCCTTCTCCACCAGGGCCAGATCCCTCTGCCATTGCCCAGTGCTATGGCTTCTTCCTTGCTCAGACCCTAGCCCAGCCGGCTGAGGACCAGCCACCCGCCCTGCCATGACAGCTGTGGCCCCAGGCAAGTGGCTTTCTACCCTGCCTATGAAGCCTGATCCAACCACAGCCATTCACCTCTCCCTCCAACCTTGGCTTTTCTCTTCAGGGTAGTTCCTGCTTTCTGTATTCTTGGCTTACTAGGGGAGGAGGTCCCTTCCCATCCTCCTCACACCCCTAGAATGTGAGCCTCATAAATAAGGGACCTGCCTGCACACCCGTCATGCGTGGCTGCCAATGCCCGCTGCAGCCACAGTCCCCCAGCCAGCCTCCTTCCTGGCCCCGCACTTGGCCTCACAGAGGAGGACTGGTGCCAGCACAGACCCACTCGTGCTGGGCGGCTCGGTGCCAGCCTGCCTGTTCCCCTGGGCTGAGAGCCAGCAGCCCGGGCATTTCCCAGGAAGGGTCCAGCCTTCTCAGGCAGGGCCCCTGCAACATCCCATCCAAATCCTACTGGGCCAGCCTGGGACGGATGCAGGCAGATGCTCCACTGCACCCCCACTGCCACTTTCCTGCTCGCTCCCTCGAAGTGCTTCAAAATCCTCAGAACTGTCAACCCACCTCCTGAAGCACAGCTTAAAATACGCACATTTACTTACACACCTACAACTCGTCTAGCGCCTGCCACGCGCAACGTGCAGCTGGCACACACGTTGCTATAAAGTCATCACATGTCACTCGTGTGGTCGGGTAGAAACTCTGTTAGGGATGGAGGGGGTGGAGCCTGCCAAAGGTAGAGTGTAAGAGCGGATGACTGTTTAAAAGAACCTGGACCCCTCCTCAACCCCACTGCTCAGCCACCAGGAAGCTGACCAGTCCCGTCCAATGGAGACCCACCTTGGGACATTTCATGGTGCCATAGGTGATTTAGTCACTGGTTTCTGAGTTGCCAGTGACAAAGGCCTGCAGTCGCCTCCCAGGGGTGGGCCACGCCCTCCCAGCACTCAGTCCTGACTGTAGGGCAGGTGATACGTCACAAGAGCCCTTTGCGGGTCACCTGCTCCTCATACATCTGCCTGGTCTGGTGTGCACTAGTGTGCACTGTGCATGGGAGGAGGCCGGGCTCAGCGAGCACACCAGGGCCCCCAGGCCAGTGAGCGAGTGAGTGAGTGGCAAGTGAGTGGTGAGTGATGGGTGAGTGAGGGGTGAGAGGTGAGGGAGGGTAAGTGAGCAGTGAGTGGGCAGTGACTGGGCATGGGCAGTGAATGAACAGTGAGTGAGAGGTGAGTAGGCAGTGAGTAGTGGTGAGAGGTGAGTGGGTGGTGAGTGAGGGAGGAGTAGGCGCTGAGTGAGTGGTGAGTGAGGGGTGAGTGGATGGTTGAGTGAGCAGTGAGTGAGCAGTGAGTGGGCGGTGAGTGAGGGGTGAGTGGGTGATGAGTGAGGGGTGAGTGGGTGATGAGTGAGGGGTGAGTGGGTGATGAGTGAGGGGTGAGTGGGTGATGAGTGAGGGGTGAGTGGGTGATGAGTGAGGGGTGAGTGGGTGATGAGTGAGGGGTGAGTGGGTGATGAGTGAGGGGTGAGTGGGTGATGAGTGAGGGGTGAGTGGGTGATGAGTGAGGGGTGAGTGGGTGATGAGTGAGGGGTGAGTGGGTGATGAGTGAGGGGTGAGTGGGTGATGAGTGAGGGGTGAGTGGGTGATGAGTGAGGGGTGAGTGGGTGATGAGTGAGGGGTGAGTGGGTGATGAGTGAGGGGTGAGTGGGTGATGAGTGAGGGGTGAGTGGGTGATGAGTGAGGGGTGAGTGGGTGATGAGTGAGGGGTGAGTGGGTGATGAGTGGGTGGTGAGTGGGCGGTGAGTGGGTAGTGAGTGGGCAGTGAGTGAGGGGTGAGTGGGCGGTGAGTGAAGGTGAGTGGGTGGTGAGTGAGTGGTGAGGGGTGAGTGGGTGGTGAGTGAGGGGTGAGTGGGAAATGAGTGGGGGGTGAGGGAGGGGTGAGTGGATGGTGAGTGCTGGCTTACAGTTCGCTAGAGCCAAGGTCCAGGCCCTCCCGCTGAGCCCTTTCAAAGGGTCCTTTCCACTGAAGAGGTTTATTTCTTTCCTCCTCTCCTCCTGCGTGTCCTAAGACACGCGGCCTTAAAATGGAATAAAACCATGAGACAAAGGCAACAGGAAGAGCGAGTCCGCCACATTCTGGGGTCAGAGGGTCTTGGGCTGCGGCCAGAGCGAGCTGGGATAGCCAGGGGATGGAAGGAATGGCAGGCCGTGACGTGGAAGAGAGGAGCAGAGGTCGGGGGAAGCAGCGGGGGGCTGCTGCGGCGGGGCAGAGGGCTCCTCGCCTGGGGACATGGGTCCCTTGCTGGGAGGGCAAGGTCCTGACTGTCCCGTGGGGCTGCCTCGAGGCACTCCAGGCTGGGAGACACTTGCTCGGCAAGCCCGGCAGTGTGGACATTTGTCGCAGCACGGGACCCTCATCCTGGCCGCAGGGGTGCTCCTTCCCGCCTGACACAGGGGAGGGCGCCGCTCACAGGAGGCTGACACGGCCC